TAAAAGTATAAACGACACATCCTCAGCAGTCGACAATCAGACCTTTAGGCGTTCTAGAGGTCTCGATTGTTCTATTGTCAATCAATTAAATATTGTTTTTATACTTGGCAGAAAAATGCCTCTGTATGTCGAAGTAAGTGCTATCGTAATCACTATTCTTGGAATGGTAGGAAACATGGTCACCATACTTATTATTATTGTTTATATAAACCTTAGAAAACCATATTTCCTTGCCATTCTAAGCCTTGCAATAGCAGATTTGTTTGCACTCATTCAACTTAGCGTTATTTTCTTCTATGAATTTGAAATATTTATGTATTTACAATGCATAAAACAGAGCTTTGTTATGGTCATTGCTATTTTGATTGCTGTAGAGATGAATGCCATTCTTAACGTCCTTCTCATTGCCCTTGTGAAGTTCCTTCTTTTGGTCTATCCTATTAAAAGCATGACATATCTGACTAATCAGAAAATCATCATATTTTGTCCAATAGCGATGGTTACAAGTTTTGGCTATGGTCTGGCTATTGCATATGGCATGATGTACATGTCCCACGATTCGGATGGAATATTGGGACAACTCCCTAGTCAAGTTTTCGTCACTGTTCTGCCGTCTTTGTTCATTATTGTAATGCACATTATCAAAGTTTTCAAAGTGAGACAATCTAGAGCCCTCAAAAAAGAAGTGAAAACAATGAATACAGTTGTAGTGTATATTCTAGCAATCTTTCTGGTCTATAACCTTCTGAAGATTGTAAATCCTTTGGTGATGGCTTTGACAAGGAGTGTCTTGATTTCTAAGATTGTGGGTATAACTATTGGAATTGCTGCCGTACTACACCATGCTGCAAATCCTTTTATTTACTTGGCCTATACTCCACTTGTCCAACTTCTCTGGCAACGATTTCTACAGAGATTTAAAAGCAATGCCTAGTGAACCTTTTTTAAAAAAGAAATTGCCACTGTTGTTATATTACAAGTGAAGCACTTCTTTCCGATAACTTTTTTTCCTAGATACATGTATGTAGTTAATTGTTCAATCGATAGACAGAATATATATACATTTTTGTAAAAGTATTGTAATTTTACAAACGCTTTTTGATTCAACATTGGCTTTTTACTGATGTTGATTAAGAGATGCGATCAACTGCTTCTTTGTCAGCAAAGCTGAAATACATCTTTTCAACCTGTTGAATGAAGAAACGTTTTTAAAAGTTGGGACAGAATTTAAATTGAAATTTAGTTATAAGGAAGCAAGAATCAGTTAAGATGACTAAGGGGATTCAGTTAGGATTGCGCATGTTGTTTTTCTTTTCTATTGTTTTGTTTGTTTGTTTGTTTGCTGTTTAACGTCCCTCTCGAGAATTTTTTCACTCATATGGAGACGCCACGACTTGCCGGTGGAGGGCTACAAATTTCGACCTATACACGGCACTCAGGGCCATTGAGCAGTGAGGGAACTTTTTCGTACCAGCATCTACTGCGACACAGGACCTCTGTTTATACGGTCTCATCCGAAGGACCAGTCTATACGTCCCGCAGTGGGATTCGAACCCGTGACGTAAGGATCAACTCCTTACTCCGCGACTCTAGAGCAGACGCTCTAACCACTGCGTTCTATTTTTTTTAAAAACTGAATTATGCCCATTAAAGATGAAGAAGGATATCTCAAGTTTCTATTCTAAAGCAAACATTATTTGTTAGTATTAAATATATTGTACTTTTAACCTCAGGGAGGAGTCCGTAAGTCATACATGTAAGTTGCTCAAAATCCGGGGAAAGTGGGGTTTTTTTTGGTCTAATCTTATTGTATTTTTTTGTTTTTAGATTTTTTACATGGTAAAATTTTGTATATTTATATTCATTAAGGGTAATTTCATTTTTATCTTTCTTTCTTTTTTTGCATTGAATTTCAAAATAGATAAATAAGTAAAGAATTAAGGGGTTGTATAAATGAGGCTGGTTTGGTAGGAAAACTGATAAATACATATATGTGTTTCAGCTATTATAAAGTCACTGCAATCTGTTTTGCAAAATTCTGTAACATAATTTTTTAGTATTCTATGTCCTTAATACGTCCTTTTATTTTATGTTTTGCTTTGTATATTGTAAAAATTATTGTAAAAGAATCACCTTTTCTCATTTTGACTTGTATTCTAATCTAATTAATTTAGGAATGACTCTAATTCGTGGCCAAATTATTCCAGTATAACCTGGTTTGGGTCAGTTTACGCTGTTTTATAATCCGCTTCGCCAAGAATTAGAGTCATTCCTTATAATTCAATTTCAAAATTTCTTTGCTTTTTATTAGTTCAAATTTGCCGCTCAATAATACAACCATAGTAACGGAAGTAACGGAAGTGATGGGAAGCGAGGGGAGGTAAAAACTGATACACAGGCCTAGCAGCCTTGTTGTTTATTTACATGTGGTAAGATCGAATTATTGTTTTAAGTTAAAGGTACATTTATTAAATATGGAATTTTCCATGAATCCCGAGGACTTGAAATGAGAGGATTGTATGGATACAGATGTTTCAGCTGGTTGTCGGGGGGGGGGGGGGGTGTCCCATACCAAACCAGGTTATACAGAAATAATTTGTGTTCCTTTTTGATTATTAACCAATCAGAGGCTAGAATACAAACAAAATTAAATTATTTCTTATTATAGCGTTTCGCGCACGAGAAATATTCGCCATTTTCGTGATCTTTTACTCTAGATTATTTCTCACCGCGAACCATTTATTTAACTGTTTAATTAATAAAATCAATGTAGAAAATTTCTCCTGTGGCGAAAATTTTAATTTTTAAGTCATTTGTACATGTACAACAGCTTAATTGTATAGTTACTGGTGATCAATCGTATTTAGAACGTTACTTTGTGTATATTAAACTACCCTTTTCCAATAAATCATACATTGCTCCACTGTTATTTTAATGAAACTAGTTTTTTTCCTTCATGTTTGCTCACTTCCATATATACAAGCCAGATAATTTTTTTTAAGATTTGGAACAGAGTACTAGGCTCCTCAACTAAAAACTTTGATATTTTGTCTTTAGTATTTATTATTATTTTTTTTTCACATACATAATTTTTTGATAGCTTGAGATTTTTTATCAATTAATGATACGCCATTTAAAAAACCTTTAGGCTTTTGCTTACCCCTTTTCTTTTAGCTTATGAATAGCTGATTCTCGAAGATTCAATGGAATTTTGTGCAACTAGAAAATTACCATCGATAGATTTTGGGCGATTAAAACAAATGTTTGGACACTTTTGCAACAGATATTCAATCGAGTTTCAGTTGCCCAGACAGGAAAGGCCAATGGTATCCTAATTAATCAAGGTAGAAAGATGATTGTGTAATATACATAATATAAAAATTGTATGTTAATCATGATTTTGGTTAAAATTAAAGCAATATTTGTAAACAAAAGTAGTATTGCTGAAAAAGCTTGAAAAAGTACAACCGCTAGAATTGTAACAGGACTTCCTATTCTTGTGTCTAGAGAAGCACTTTATTCTGAAACTTGTTGGGAAACTTTAAAAACCATATACATGTATATTACAAAAATGACTACTCTGTTCAAAATTCACACGGGAAGAGTACCTGAATATTTGCATGATATTGTCCCCAATAAGCGTGAACATATTTCCATATACAATACCCGTACCAAACAAGATTATATTGTTCCAAGGTGTAGATTATAATTATTTAGAAACTCTTTCGTACCTGATGCTGCAAAACAATGGAATTTACTAAAAACAGAGGTCAGAGAAGCCATCTAAAACAAAACATTTCGATAAACCTTGATAACAAAAATTAAAAATCCACCATCATTCTTCTCTTTTGGTAAGCGGTACACCAATATCATTCATACTAAGACATTACTCAAAATCATGATCTATATAAACGAAACATTATAAATAGTCCTTTATGTTTGTGTGGAAAAAATGAAGATGTGCACCATTTCTTTTTCGCATGCAAAAATTATTCTAATGCAAGAAGTACTCTTTTTAATCGCTTGTTCACTCTTGAACTGGTTACTATTGATATAAATCTATAATTATGTGGTGATGTTAATTTGCCTTTACAGATAAATATTAACAGTATTTTTGCTGCTGTTCATAAATTTATTGGCGAAACATGTGGATTCTCTAGTTGATATGTAGATTGCTTTTTCACTTGTATTAATTGTATCATTTTTCTTTTAATTTGCATGACATATTGTAATATATAAGTAGAGGAACTTAGTAAATTGTATAGAACTTGTTTCCAATCCTTTTGATGTATTCAATAAAATATGCTCAAAACAACATCGACATTTTGTTCACTAAATATATCTCGTTACATATATACATTAGATAAATTGTATGCACTTTGCTTTCGTATACCTTTTCAGCTATGTAGAGAGGAACTTCTTTTTTCGTTACAAACTTCTGACATTTTCGTCAGCTGACATAAATAATTTGCATGTTGTATGTCGACAATCACATAAATAAGTTGTATGTCAACATAAATAAGTTGTAACTTGTATGTCGCCATTAAAAAGTTGAATCTCGCATCATTCTTATTGACAAGTTGTGGTGACAATATGGGTCACTGATATATATCAAAAGTTTATACTCAGTGTACGTGTTCTCACACATGGATAAGTTACCGTAAATTCATCGTCCGCATAATTTTACTCCTATTCGTCGTGCGACACAGTTGAACTTCGAGCGAAATCGAACCACTAGATCCAAAAGGTCAAGTTTGGGCTATACTAATATACGGCGTATAGGTTTACAGGTAGATGAACAAAACTTTGAAATTCATGATGATGAAGTTCAAGGTTTTTTCTCAGATAATACATGTTTATGTTACATTAAGGTTTAAGATTCTACACATTTCAATTGAAGAAAATGATGAAATCTAAGAAAAACGCTTTCATTTATTAACCTGAGCTCCCCTTTCCTGGTCTTTTGAATAGTAAGATAGAGCATTCATACAAAACCCTTCCGATGTGAATACATACAAATCACGTTTCTACACTTACTTTTAAGAAACGTGCAATTTTCTGCTCCAGTGAAGCATAATGATCCGGACGTGCATTATTCTTGCTATTCTATCACTTTCCTTTGCTGATAATGTGAAATTCAAGGACTGTGGTAGGTGCCATTTCTTTCATTCCAAATTGAATACCGGTTTGCTTTGCAGTTCAATTTATTATCATTTTTTCTTCAACAGGAAAACTTTTTTTTTTTTTTTAAAAAAGAAGAAAATATATCAATTTTAATATTGAACTATTTTTTTTAAGTTATCTGCGCTGAGATAGTATTAGTTTTGTTGAATTTAGACATCACCTACTTTTTGAAGCCAAGTATCTAGCTTTAGATATTGACCCCATTTGCACAACTTATGAGTGTTTGCATACATAACAAGAAGCATAGTGGAGGAAGTTCATACTTATAATTATGTGAACTTCTAGGGAACATTCGAATTAGTTCCAACGTGGACCCAGGTAGCATGAATTTATCAGTTTTTGCTAGGGAACCCTTCGCTCAATAATACATGCAATATAATGTTGGTCTGTTGCATGCACATGATTAAAGTCAACTTTTTGTGATCGGATTCGGCCGATCACAGTCGATTCCATCATCCGGCATATATAACCGTTTGTGCGCACATGACGCGACGGACTACTTTGTCTACTAAATGCATTGACAGAGTCGTGTAAATTTATCACAATGTGTTAAGTACTAAGGAACTTTTTAATGCATTTACTTTGAGATCCATACATTCATACAGTTACATGGTGAATAACGTTGGTGTTTTCTCTATGTGCGCAAGAATTTCATTCACTTCCGAAATGGAAGTCTTGTACAACCTTTAGAGTCAAGTTTATTCGTTCACTGGTGTTTCGAGTAAGTCTAACTCATATATTACTTTATTCGTTTACAAGCTTAGCTTTTAAAAAGATAGGTGAGCTATCCTTTGAATAAATCATAGATATCTGAAACATTGAATTAATTTGCTGAATCGAATAATTATCAATAGGAAGGCACACTGATGTACTGGGGCGGTGTGTGTCAGTTTATAGTGATCTCTACAGACCAGTAAACACGGTATGCCATTCGACAACAAATTCACAACAACCGAGTTTATTGGTCTGTAGAGACGACTATAAGCGGTTAGGAGATGGATAAAATATACAGGTTGGTTATAGAATATGTCTAGAATTAGGGGATGAAAGGTCGTTGATTGACCAATGCTGGAAAGTGGAAAAATACATCCCCAAAGTGCGTAGAAAATCTTGCGCCGTAAATTGCATTTTATTTACATTACGGGATCTGTTAGCGTTATGGTCAAAGACTAAAATATAAAACCATAACGCTACAGTTCTGCAGCTATGGTTTATAGTTCTCATCAGAAGAAGGAGATTTTCATAAATAATGGATTTTAAATACTAGTACATAACCATAGACCTGAACACTGGACCCAGGGAACTTTGAAAGAGGTCTTTAAAAAAAAATCATGCAAAATATTCAGTACATGTTTAATATCTAGTAGTGAATTTTATGTTTTGTAAAGAAAATGCATTTTAATTTCAAATTCATGAGTGATGGAATTTTGTAGAGGATTAATTGCTGATTATAGTCATGCAATTAGTTTCCTACTAGATGCCCAGAAGTAGGGAAGCTGATTTTTGAATATTGCTAAAATAAAAAAATTAGTTATGTTTTATATGAAAAAAATAAAGTTGAGCCCGTTCATATTCCTAATAAATTATTACAGGTTCCGTCTCGGGAAAAATAGAAAGCGTTGACGTTAATCCATGTCCGTCAGAACCTTGTCAACTGAAGAAAAACACCAACGTCACAATATCCCTCGACTTTACACCGAGTAAGTATTCAAGGTCGTCGGAAAGGGGAAGGGTGCGCTGGGTAACAACTCCATCTCTACCCTTTCCAGAAACCTGGTTACGACCTTGGGCTATTGCACTGTTCATAAGTAGATAAAAATATACCTTAATGCAATTATTACATCAAATCTAGGTAAGGAAAACCAATTCAAAATTCAAATGGAGGATCTTTGTCTTTCATGTTTCATTGCTACCTCTTTGGATATTATCAAGTGTAGATATATAGGTTAATTTAATTAATGTTTATTTCATTATCAATAAATCATTATAATTGATACATGCATTAGCAGAATTCAGCATAGATTTGTCTTTGAGGGTACTTTTACACTCTTCTCCAGGTGCCAATTCGGCCACTTTTAAGACAGTTGTCCATGGAATTATTGGAGGGGTACCTGTCCCATTTCCAACCTCTAACGGGGCAGTCAACCCCCCTGTTCCCGTCCAACCAAATCAAAAGGTTACCTATACAAACTCCATCTTTGTTGAACCAGCTTATCCTAAGGTAAACAATACTTTTATCAAAAATAGTCAAAAAGCCGCTATTCAATATTCCAGTTATTGAACTGAGAATGAACAGAGAAATAAATACACGAGATTTGAAAAAGAAAGATATGAAAAAAAGGACAACATTAAGAAGTACAAGCATAGGAATATATGAATAAAGACTGCTTTATTGTGCTTTTACATTTTAGTGATGAGGAAATTTAAAAAAAAAACATCTTCAGTAATACTTTTATTTTTTTTTTTAAATAAACAGATATCACTCCTTGTAAAATGGGAAATTGCAGACGCATCAGGGAAGGATTTTGTGTGTTTTGTCGTACCAGCGATGATAGTGGGATAGACCAAATATAAAAACACTACCGACTAAATATACATGTTTGAATACTATGTTATACAAGCCTGACAATAAAATTGATTTTTTTCCCCACACAAATGAGTCGTGTCATGAATTTACGATAAGACACAATATGGTAATCTTACAGGGAAGAAAAACATGGGGGGGGGGGGTCCTTCATTGTTTTATTGCGCTAAAAGAAAACAAAGAAGGAAGAAAGCTATTTTTTAAAAATATTATACCCTATCCGTTGAAAGTATTTCCATAATTTAATTCACGTTCATATCAGGAAAAAAAGTTGCGCTTTTTCGTCGTTTTTATAACAATGCCATTCATCTTTTCTTCCAAAGTTTCGAACACGTAAAATCTATACTCTTTTGTCACTTTCCCCGATTTTGAGGTCCCCCCCCCTCCCCCATTCATGAAAATAACAACTAATCTATGTTTATCTAAGTAAAATTAATAAGTTAAACTGTGTAAAATTCCATTTTTTATTAAAAGTTTTCAATTTGTCCCATAGAACTAGATAAAAAATAATAGATTTATAAGTATGATGGCCTGTATATGAATGACATTCCTTTGATAGCATTTTAGGGATATGTCAGGGTGATCCATTTCCCTATTATCAATATGCATATACAATGTATGCGATCTGATCTTACGATCTTACTGTGTAAGGTACAAAAATACGGTATACATATATTTTTTGTTTATCACAGTGAAGTAAACTTCAAATTTAAGAATGACTGGTCTCTTAAACCATACACTAGCTTTCTACATTGTGTCAGCAATATTTTAGGAATGACTCTAATTCTTGGCCAAATTATTCGAGTATAACCTGGTTTGGGTCAGTTTACGCTTTATAATCCGCGAAGCGGATTAAAAAACAGCGTAAACTGACCCAAACCAGGTTATACTCGAATAATTTGGCCAAGAATTAGAGTCATTCCTTATAATTTAATTTTAAAATCATTAAATAACTAAGGGTGTAGAATTTCGTTGCTTTTTATTAGTTCAAATTTGCCGCTCAATAATACAACCGTAGTAACGGAAGTGATGGGAAGCGAGGGGAGGTAAAAACTGATGCATAGGCCTAGCGGCAGCCTTGTTGTTTGTTAACATGTGGTAAGATCGAATTATTGTTAAGTTAAAGGTACAATTATTAAATCTGGAATTTTCCATGAATTCCGAGGACTGGAAATGAGAGGATTGTATGGATACAGATGATTCAGCTGGTTGTCAGAGGGGTGTGTCCCCATACCAAACCAGGTTACAGAAATAATTTGTGTTCCTTTTTGGATATTATCCAATCAGAGGCTAGAATACAAACGAAATTAAATTATATTTAGATGATATCTAGGATAGACAATGAATCTGCAAAACAGGCATGTTGTAAAATTTTATGTTGGTTTTATTACTTTGCTTGATTTTTTTAGTCCTAATTGTAGTACTTTGATGTGTCAAGTTGACCACTGACTTGCAGAGTGTCGCGTGATACTTTGACCTATCTACTCTCATCCTATCTTCTGAATAGGGAGAAATCGAACGATCACTAGGAAGGTCAAAATCTAAAACAGTATATATATATATATATATATATATATATATATATATATATATATATATATATATATATATATATATATATATATATATATATATATATAATGCAACTTTCAAGAAACTTTAGTATGATCATTTTAATTATATAGAAAACTGTGATTGTTAAATCTCTGAAGACAATTAAATCAGTACAATATGGACCTAGTCTCCAGAATAATAATATTAACTGTTGCGATGACTTTTGCTTCAGCTGACGTAATCACTTTCAAAGACTGTGGTGAGTTTACTAATGTTGTTAGTAGCTAGAGATTGTGAGTACAATATTTTGACAATGAAATATACATGTAAAGTCTTTCGTCGACAATAAATAAACTTTATCTGCCACGTTTGTACAGTTATAAAATTAAAATGATGTTGCACATGATAAAGGTTCTTATTGTGCTTCAGGAGTTTGCTAAGTTGTATATTTTATCAGAAATTTGTGTCCAATATTGTAGGTTCTGCTACTGGAACGGTGAACCAAGTCGACGTGACCCCGTGTCCGTCAGAACCATGTCAACTAAAGAAGGGAGACAATGTTACAATGAAAGTAGAATTCACGCCTAGTGAGTGGCATTTCCGCTTTTTTATTTGGGTCACAATTCCTGGAAATATTGAACAGCAATAAGCTTCAAAATTTTTCATTTCTTTATTCAGAGGTGAATTCAACAAAATACTCGTCTGTACTCCATGGAATTATTGGAGGGGTTCCTGTGCCATTTCCGCTTCAAAATGGAATCACTTCCGGTCCAATAATTACAAACAGCAAAATCGTCTACTCAAATTTCCTGATGGTTCTCCCATCTTATCCTAAGGTAAGCTGCCTTCTCGCAAACACTAAACTTTATAGATGCAGAAAAAATCACTCTAGCTTTTAAAACATCGAATTTCTTCCTTTCTTAATTTTTCATTGTTTATAACAGCACTTATGCGAGTCACCAAATTCTTATTAATAAATTATTCTAAAATGAAACACTTTTTATAATTCGTTATCGTCTTGAATTGTAAAAAGTTGATTCTACAATATTTGCAGATAAAACTAGCAAATTAAAACCTCACTCTGATATTTGAGTTGCTTTTTTTTTTTGCTCAGGTCTCGCTGGTCGCCAAACTGGAAATCCGAGACGATAACAGTAAAGATCTTGTGTGTTTTGTATGGCCTGTCCAGATTGTGGAATAGAAGTCTTGATCATCCAGTGGTTCGATCCTCCAAAGGGTCAAGTTCGCGATGACGACTGAGACTCTTCTTTTGCTTTTCGTTCCTGCATTGTAAATATATCATAAATAATTTAGTTTCATCCTGTCTTTATACGTCATTTGTGTTTAAGAATAAATAAAAAAAAAAGTTTAACAGTCATTCCTTGTGTAAATATATTATGGAAGCCATGTTTCGAAGTCCTGGTCTTGGTGAGGAAGTCATTTCCCCTTATACAGTTGTGTGTTCCTCTTTCGTCATGGAATTGCAGTTAAATTTAAATCATATTAATATAACGCAAAATTAAGAGCTCGGCACTTGGACAATGAAATTTACCTATGTCTTTATGTACTCTTTAATTGAGATTTCATGAAAATATTCTTTAGTTAAATAACACATGTATGAAATGGTGTGAAACACTGTTCTTAGGAAATGGACCTGTCAACAACTGAATATATTCTAATGGACTTTACTAAATTCAAAGACCTTAAAAAAATGACCCAGAAAAAAACGGAGGAACAAGGTTTAAGAAAATCCAACATCTCTTCTTATTTCTATTCTACAATTACCATTTCAACGAGAAAGAGAACAAAAACACTTGAGGGAAAATTTTACTGTCGGTTTACTTAAGATTTTAATTGCGATTTACAATTTAAGACATATACTTGCACCACACTTTGACAAATTAAATGAACTAAATGATTTAAAACTGTTAGATAAGAGTAAATTGAATCCGAAATAGTTTCGCCTGGGACGTTTTGCATAGCGTATTTCGTAATAAGATAGGATGTTGACCATTTACTTCGGGAAAGTCGATAAAGTTCCAAAATAAGATACCATTATTCCAAAATCATCCCATTTATCAATAAAATGATAAAATTGACTGATAACCCGAGCTCAAGTAAGTGGGTCAATGTACCTTAAAAATTTAAAGTCGAAAATAGGGAACATGGTTGAGTAATTGTACTAAGACATCAATATAAATATATACAATGTACTTTAATGTAGATTTAAGTATTTACACTCATGCCGACTTATGATCTATTCTCTTCTCTGTTGTGTAAAAATTTATATAGACCTTGCATGTTGCAATAAAATGCAAAAAGGACCATATATTGATAAAACTTGACGGTGTACTGGAAAACTCTTAAATTTAAATGCCATTCATGCATCAAAGGTCAAATGAGGATTCTCGCATTGAAATTCCACGTGATTCCATCCGAATATAAACAAACCACTCTGAGAATTGTAACAATTCACAGAGTTGTCGACGTCCGAGACAAAGAAAATCATGTCCCTCTCTCTCGCCTGTGCTCTGGTAGTCGTTGGTGTTATTGCCACCTGTTTTTGTGAACCGATCAACTTCAAAAAATGCAGTAAGTACATATCAGTAAGAGAGAAATATGAACGCCTCAGCCCACAATATTGTATTTATAAGTGACGAGAATGTAAGCTTCAAAAGAAGGAATTTACATGTAAGGATTGTATAATGAGAGTGAAGGAAGAAAATATGGTATTCAGAAGGAATTGATTTTGTTGTAAAAATAAATCTTTGAAGCTGGGTTGTCCAGTGCTAAATTATTTTCGATGTATGTGTTAACTGTATGCATAAGTTCATAAAGCAGGGGAAATCGAACAGAATATGATATATTTAATATCTGTATATTTCCATATCAAATTACAATTATTTACAGATGGATCTCCAGACATAAAAACAGTCGATATCACACCTTGCAAGGAACAACCCTGTAAATTTTATCACGGGATGAACGTCACGGTGTCTGTAACATTCGTCTCAGGTTTGTATGTAGTAAAAACATTCTTTAGTTAATTCAAAAGTATGCCATTGAGAGAGTTGGCACATTCTAGTTTTCCAAAATTATAAAACTATTTCTTGTACCAAAGCTGAAGAAAACATTTGTGTGGGGACCAGAATCTTGTTAACTTACAAAATGGTATACTTTGTTTTATTAATCCTATACAAAAGTAAACTCGGGACCATAAAACCAATGCTTCATCCATTAAATACTTGGTTGACTGTCGCATGACAGGTATAGTATTTTACAGTTGCTATCTCCAGCCAATATAAATTGAGGCTTCAGTCTGTTAAATCCGTCTCTGACTGGATCTTATGTCATGAAAATAAGACTGCCCTTTGGAGGGACAACAGTGAATTCAAATTAAATTCAGGGATTTAAGAAAATTTAATGAATTACTATTATATACATGTATAGTGAAAATTATTAAATGTATAAAACGTTTTTCAAATGAAATATTTTTGAAGTTACATCTTTTTTCTTTGAAGTGAGAGACTCCATTGGGCTAACAGCTGAGATCTATGGAATTCTTGCGGGAGTGCCCGTCAAATTTAACATGCCTAATCCAAACGGATGCAGATCCAGCAATATCACCTGTCCAATCAAAAACGGAGATCAATACACCTACAGTGGATTGTTCAATGTTCTGAAAACCTACCCAAATGTGAGTACATTGAGGGAGTATTTACCTACGAGACCATAATGGACTGTATCATGTAAAATTTGAATTTAGTAGATTGATGTAAATGCAAAATTTACATCATGTTGTAAATTTTGCATTTACTTCCATCTACTAAATTCAAAATGATGATATACAACATGATAAACTGTGTAAAACCAGAAAACTAACCTGTGAATCTTGTGAAGGAAAATCAAAGTCTCTTTTTTTTGGTTTTTTGGTTCATGTTTATGACTTTGATTGTTTAAAAATGTGAAAATAAATTATTATTTTGTAGAAGATTTGAAAAACAGAAAAATTAATATTTTCCTACGCCGCTATTCCGCCAAAAATATAGTACCTACTAAATTCTTAGCTCAGTTTACCATTTCTCTGTCGAGAAAAGAAAAGAAAAATAAGATCTTTCAAATTCCTTAATATACTTTGAATTTTTAATTTGTTAGAAACAGATATTTTATACATGTACACGTGAACTACCTAAATATGTGTCAGTTGGAAAGCTATACATATTGAAGATAGTGTACCAGAAATAATATGCCATGTTATGCTAATGTAGGGAAGAAATTGTTTTATATGAAATGAACTTATCTATTTTCCTGAAAGTAAAATCTAAGCGGACGCAAACGGGGGGGGGGGGGGGCAAATATTTCTCATGGTTGATTTAAGTTGGAGCAAAATAAAACCTTGAAAAGTGTGAATTTTCGGTAAATCACAGATCCATGCATTATTAATTTATATTTACATTTCCAAATGATCTTTGTGCGAGATAAGACTACAAATAAGGAAATAGCTTAATATCTGCTCATCACGTACGGAACTGCATGCTAACTCACTGTGTATAGGATAGTAATATAATGGGTGGGGCTTGTAGTGCTAGAGTTTAAATTATTGAATAAAAATAACGTGTATACATGTATCTCATTTTTCTCATTCAATCGAGGATCAGAATAACTTTTTTTGTTTGTTTGTTTGTCTTTTTATTTTTATGATGATGATCAAACAGTTTGCTCAAGTGATGATATGCAAATTACCACGTGAGCAAAATGTTTGATCACATTATAAAGCCAACAAAAAAATAGATAAGTATTCCTTGAGTCACTGTGCATCTTGGTTTCGTTTCTTTTGTGAAATAACAGATTTGAACCAATAATGTTGGCTTCTGATATGCAAGACAAGTTTTTTAAATCTGCTTACTATACCGTATGTGGCAGTTTAGATCCATCATCGTCCAAAATTATACTAGAGTAAGACTGATAAAGCGGAATACTGCTCTTTACCGCAATTACAACTATATATACCAAAACGTATTCTATGCATTGACATGTTTACAAATCATATATTAATCAATGAAAGTATTTTCTTTTAAATTTAGATACGTCTAACAGTGCAATGGGATTTAAAGGCAGACGACAACAGTTATTTATTTTGCTTCGTGTTTCCCATGGAAATTGATAAGTGACCATTCCTCATAAAATAGACACTGATTGAATCCATGTTTTCTCATTTTATAAAATTCACAATAAATTCACTGCTGCATGCTTAACTGTGCTCATGGTTTTTTGAGAGTAACTTGCATGGTAGTATTTCTAGAAAATTTCAACAGAATTCGAAAGCCATATCAATACTATTGTCAATATTTGCAGAAAAAATTAATCTATAGGGATGATTGACTTTAATAAATTTGATCAGGGTCCTCACCTTTAAGGAGAACAAAGAATTTCTATTATTCTTCTTGAAACAAGTTTTAAATAAGTTGATATTGGCACCATGGTTCTTTACATGAAATCGAACATATCAGACGGGTGTTTCCATATGTGATATTTTTATATATCTGGGACAAGAAAAGTTCATTCGGGCTAAAATTATGCCCCTTATGCATTTCATTTTTTTAAGTTTGTTGGTTTGTTTTTTAGAACTATATCCAGTTTATAAAGATATATGGACAGGGTATAACTTGCAAGACATCGATTTACTTTGATTTGTTGCTCTACAATACAAATCATGATGTACTCTTTAGCAAATACCAATACGCATTACACAATGATACAAATTAGAATGATCAAGATTTACAAATAAAAATAAATGCATTGAAAAAAAAAACAAAAAAAGCTTGCTTTAAAAATGGTGGTTTCTATAAAAATCGAACAGGTCTCTGACGTTATATACTAGTATTTTTCCTATAATAAAATAAATATACCCCCTTCCTGATAAAGAACTATTAGGTAGGGGTATATTTTTCCATTATAAAAATATTTAACGGCAGATGCCATTGAAATTTAATTTTCTTCTAATTTGTATCGCTCGTATCAAGATATGATATCAAATGCAATGTATCGCTCATATCAAGATATGATATCAGATGCAATGCATTGTGATACTTTTTATACTGTGAGGACTGCGCATCAACCCTTATAATTTATGATTGTTAGCAACCACGCATTCATTATACCCGCACTCTCTAGAGGAAGAATGGGTATATCATTGTTCTCCACGTCCACTACTCTGTCTGTCAGATTTTCTTGCCATTAACCCCTCCTTACCTCCTATATTTTAAGAGGTGTCCAAAAAAACAAACAAACAAACAAACAAATAAATCTGCCTCTATCTGATTGAACTGGTCTTGTAGATTTGCAATGAGATTTATGGTCCCTAGGGTTGGAAAAAAGTGTAGTTCAAAAATAATGATTGTCATTGGAATTTCTGCTTCAAAGGATAGCAAAAAAATATATTTTTGCGTACACAAGTATAAATGGTCTTGTCATGTGGATGTTTAATGGAGATTCGGGAGTTTGATTTCTGCCCTATGTTCCATATGGAAGTTTTTCATCAGAACTCCGTGAATTTCGAGTTTTAAAACTTTATTTATTTATCCAAGGTTGAAGATGAACAATAAAGTTTCAGATGCTGCAAGCAACTATTTTCCATATTAGTGATAAGGCCAAGCACTGGAGTTGTCCCCAAGCAGCTATAATACCTTGGTTCATCAAAGTTGCACAGATGGCGGCAATAAGTATGCATATTGTCAATTTAATCATATATTTTCTAGAAGATAATCAAAATGTTTTTGGATTCAGTTCCACTCTTAAGTAACCAAAAGTGCTACCCTAACCAGTCTTATTATAATGTTGCATCTTGGGATACATACTGTCAAGCTTTGCATAGTGCAGTTGTCCTATACTTCCTTGATGTGTGATCAATTACATATACATCCCTAGGGTCGGAGGGGATAGTGTACTAGTAGTTTTAAAATAATAATTGTCACGCGAACTTCTGCTTCAAAGGGTAGCCATAAAAACAAGAGGCCCACGGGCCTTATAGGTTACCTGAGTATGCCATGAGCCCTGCCCTAACACCAGAACCTTGACCCATGGGACATAAAATTCACAATTTTGGAAAAGGCACCCTTGCATATTATAACTATACTCTTAGTTCATCAGCTTAATACCCAGGAGAAAAGGACACGATTTTCAAAGAATTGTTGCATTTTTTACAATGTAATCATTAGAGCTCCGCCCTAACACCAGAACCCCTGACCCAGGTGCCATGAAATTCACAATTTTGGAAGAGGCATCCTTACTCATCTTAACTGTGCATTCAGTTTGTTTGCTAAATACCCCGGATCAAAGAAGAAGATTTTTAAAGAAATAATGCATTTTCACTATATATTCAACAGAGCCCTGTCCCAACACCAGAGCCCCTGACCTGGGGCCATAAATTTCACAATTTTGGACGAGGCAACCTTATTCGTCATTACTATACTCATAGTTCATCGGTGAGAAAAAGAGAGGATTGTCAAAGAATTATTGCATTTTTACTATGTAATCATTAAAGCCCCACCCTAACACCAGAACCCCTGAGCCAGGGGCCATGAAATTCACAATTTCTGAGGAGCAGAGAAGAAGATTTTCAAAGAATTAATGCATTTTCACTATATAATCAATAGAGCCCCGCCCTAACACAAGAACCCTTGACCCTGGGGCCATGAAATTCAAAATTTTGGAAGAGGCACTCTTGCTCTTCATAACTATGTACTTAGTAAGTTTATTTAATACCCAGGAGCAGAGAAGATTTTCAAAGAAATAATGCACTTTCACTATATGATCTATATAGCCCCCCCCCCCAGCACCCCTGACCCTGGGGTCATGAATTTCACAATTTGGTAGAGGGCTCAATGCTTATTACAATCATGCCAAGAGTTTGACTGCTTGATGTCCAGGAGTAAAGAAGAAGATTTTTAAAGATTGCTTTAATTTTGATAGTTTAGCCCCACCCCTCAGGCCCCAGGGGGGTAGGGGTCATGAATTTCACATTTTTACTCCCCTGCACCCATAGATGCTATATGCCAAATTTGGTTGAAATTGGTTCAGTGGTTCCAGAGAAGAAGCTGAAAATGTTCAAATGTTAATGCACGGCGGATGAAAACAGATAGCAATAGGTCACCTGAGTAAACTCAGGTGACCTAAAAATCGTATACATGTACTTTTCATGTGGATGTTTAATGGAAATTTGATTTCTGCCTTATGTTCCATGTACTTGCAAAGATGTTACTTTGGTGGGATACATATACTAGCAATCAAGTTTCATATTCTGTATATCCTAATTCTACAGCTGGGGCTTTTCAAGTATTCTAATTCTCATGTACATACTATTCAACAAATGACAAGTTTTATATAACTTTACTTCGAGTGTGCACTACACAAGCAATCTGTCATAGACAAAATTGGTGAATAATCAATTTTTTTTTTTAAATGACTCCAGACTTAAGTAAAACAGTAAAGTGGGTATTATAACTCATTCCTGACAGATGGTTTTGGCCGTTTCTTAATTCTGGTTTCAGAAATATATCTCTTAAATAATGCATCAACATTCTGTAAAATTAATTAAATACACTTTACATAGTTTCTGTCATAAAATATGCCTTTTTTCAATTATTAAAGCTTCTTCAGACAACTGTCTTAATTTCCTGCACACAAATTCAATGAATACTGTTTTAAAAGAAAAACATCAAAATATTAAAGGTAATACAGCTTTGTTTTTAATTTTTATTTAGAAAACAAAGATGAGATTGAATTCAAGTATATGACTAAAAAAAGTTAAAGTCAATCACAGAGGCATCAACCAATCTCTCCTTCTCTTACATAATCATATAACAACCTTTTTCATTGGTTTAAAGCTTGTTACTATGATGAATGATGACTCAATAATAGTTATAAAAACAAATGGTTGACTAAATTAAGTACATGAACATGTAAGTATCTCAAGTACCTTTTAACAACTTGTGATAATATTTTACACATTTACAGGATAAATCTTGTTATAAAAAGGAAGCACACATACACACATGCTTGCACCAAATGGAGAAATAACACCTTACAAATGCATGTCAGATCAAAAAACACTTTTTAACAAGAAAAAATTCAACTATCAATCATGGGTACCCTCCTCCAACAAAAAAAGTTTTAAAAATTGTTTAATGTTTGTTTGGTTTTTTTTTTATTTGGGGGGGGGGGGGGGGGGTAAATTGATTTCTAAAACCTGGAAAATGTTGGCTTGAAAACAAAACAGCAAGTAAATAATGAGACACAATCAGATCTTTAACATGCATAAAAAATAAGAATGCTTTTATTAAAAAGAGAGAGTAAACAATCAAACAACAAAATGATGCACACTGTACAATTTGGTATTTCAAAATTACTTTAGTCTATATAATATTTTACAAGCAATATATACTCGTACACCATATACATTTCAGACTTTTTCCATTATGTATTACATTCAGCTTTATATAGCAGCCATGCCTTTCTTAGCATAACTGAATACTACAATGGTGTACAAGTACTTGGCAAAATTTACCTTAATATAACTCAATATCATTAAAATTGATTGAAGTATCTTATTACAATCATTTAGTAGTGTGAATCTGGAATACATTCTAGATAACTGAACACAAGAATTAAGACATACTATCAAAGTGTGGACTTTTATTTCTTGACTTGTATAACAAGCAGCTGTTCTTCATAGAGATTCGATCAACATGATTTTCAAAAAAAAAAAAAAAAAAAAAAAAAAAATACTTATTATGCTCATGCATGCATGTGTACATGCAGACTTCCATCTCTTACTGGATCTGAGCAGGAAGTTCAACACAAAACATTGACTGGCTATTTTCATTCACAAGTTCATACTTCACAACAAGTCTTATCTAAAAAATAAAATAGATTGGGAACTTAAAAACAAGCACTGATCTGAAAAAAAAATTGATTTAGTCATCCATCCAAATTTTGTTCAGGGTTAGGTACAATTATACTCAGCCATAGTGAAGTTTGAGCTCATTTGACTTGAGAAAACTAGGTTTACTTAGCTTGGATATTTAAATTGTGCATTTTATTATTTATTATACCTTAGGGTAATCTTTCAGAACTGGAATTTTGTTGGTATACTTGTAGCTTTTTCCAGCCACCACTGGACAAGTGATTCCTGAGTCTACACATCCATTTACATTGGGGGGATTAAATGGAATGGGCACCCCACCAATGATACCATGAACTACAGCTTTGAGTTGTTTGGCAGCTGTGTCTACAAAATTCATTTTCCAATCATTTAAAATTTCACAAACTAACCTATACATTACAGATAGATATCCAGTTATGTGATACATATGATGAACTTACTCATAGTGAAACTTCTAAAATGATATAATAAACTGGCATACTTTAATATAATAAATACACTAGACAAATTACTAACACACCACCAAATGAAATTAATATTTTACTTTTCAAAACTTGTTTATGATGTATGAAAAAGTCTGAAAATGTGTATGGTGTATGGGTATTGCTTGTAAAATATTAAATAGACTTAATTTATTTTATTACTGTCTCAGTCTGTGTGTCTGTATGTACATGTATGCATCCATGGAATAGAGATGTATAATAGAAATACACTTATAAATATATGCATGTAGGTTTTATTTAATAAAGGATACTGACCAGCAACAAAGTCCACTTCAATCGTAGCATTTGTTCCCCTTTTCAGAGTGCATGGTGCCACAGTGCATCCAAGAACACCGACACCCTTCACATGTGTTTTGCTATCTATCAAAATAAGAAATCTGACATGCCAAATTGTACAATTTGTTTAGTACACTGAGAGAGATAAAGAGAGAACAATGTTTTTAATTTATTTTACTTAGGTGCATAAATAAACAGCAGACTTTATGCATGTTTTTTTAAGGGGGCTTCTATGGTCCTCTTTCACTCCTTTCCCCAGACCCTTCCTCTTTCCCCCTTCCCTCAAGTCCCTTATGCCTTATTCAGTCCACCATCTATACCTGTTTCTCTACCTTTCCATTCACCCCTCCCCCATTTTCAAACTGATCTCCAGAAACAATAAATATTGTTAAAAAAAAAACACATTTCTTTAACAGTTTAACTTGCTTTGTTCTGATCATGCTGACTACTGAGTTAATATAAAGCAAAATATTATTTCTAACCATAGAAAAAATCTACACAACATTTAACGTTATATCTATAGATCTTTTAAATATGTCAAGTGGAACTTTCTAGATAATCAGTACCTACCGCATTCTTTAAATGGAATGGCAGCAGATATAACAGAAAAAAGCACAGTTACAACACAGAGAACCAAAAGCTTCATTTTTTTCGCTTGTGAACTCGAAGTTTTCCTCGTTTCTACCTATCATGTGACCAAATCACGTGGCCGTCGTACGATTGACGAATACTTCCGTTTATAAATCAAGGTGTGGATCCATATATTTCGCAATGATGTGAAAATAAATAATAGATTCGTCATAAAGAATGAATAAATGAGCAGGCCCGTAGCAACGGTTTCGAAAGGGGTGGCAACTTCCCTAATCTCGGTGGAGATTCGGCTGGGCTAGGTATTTGGTCGGTGGGCGTCAGACCAAATATCTAGCCCAGCCGAATCTCCACCGAGATTAGCAACTTCCCCCAAAAAATCTGACAAGCAAAAAAAAAAAAAAAAAAAAAAAAAAAAAAAAAAAAAAAAAACTGCATATCAGCATATAGCTCTCTCCTACAATGGGAGAGGATCGTACATTTTGGCTGTGGTTTGGGACGATGTGGGGGGGGGGGGGGACTTAGCAAAATTATCTGACAAGCTAAAAAAAAGCTAAGCTGACCACAAGTGGTGGGGGGCAACTTTGCAAAAAAAATTTTCAAGCAAAAAAGAAAAAAAACTATTTACTGTCCAAATCCTGGAATTTGCCAGTGCTCGACCTTACAACAACAAAAAGGGGGGGGGGGCAACCAGCATCTAAAGCCGGGAAATTTACTATAGCAAAATACTAAACTCAGAAAAAAGTGGGAGGGGGGAGGGGCGGGCCCCCTGCCCCTCTCCCGCGTTCTACGGGCCTCCTGCCCCTCTCCCGCGTTCTACGGGCCTGATGAGTAAATGAATGAATGAATAGATAATTAAATAAATAAATAAATAAATATTTTTTTAGCCAATTTTTTTCTATATTGATACATAGAAAGTTCTGATAGTTTGCTTCACTACTACATATAACGTTATGTATCACATGGAAGGTGATGGTGACCATGTAACTGTTTGATCGGATCCACTTTTTAAAATATGCCCCCCCCCCCTTTTTAATTTTTTTATTTTAAAAAAAAACACGTATGTAAATATATTGTAGTGTACTATTATGCATTTAGTATCCATATGATGAATGGAGAGAGTTACATGTTAAGATACATGTATCGTGATTCAGTTCTACAAATATAACATTGTATAATTATTTCCTTCGACGTATTTGGCTCTAGTCTTTGGTACACCCCCCCCCCCCCAATTTCAGGTTTCAAAGTTGTTTTGTTTTTTTAATTTTAATATTTCGGATTTCCAACGTTTCGACATAAGCATCACTCAAAAGACATAATTTTCGAAATGCGCATCTGGTTACAACACAGAGATCGCATGTAAGAAGAAGCAGTTTTTTTCCTCTTTTAAACTCTGAGCGCATGTTTGTTTATTAATCTCCTTTTGACACCACATTATTAATGCAAATATATAATCACTGTTAAACGGAGAACAGTAGACAAACATGCACTGACTATGTATAAAGTCAGTAAAAAGTGGGCGTCCACATTATATCGCACGGAGATTCAATAAATTGTAATGACCCCCGCTTTTGAAAACTGATTCGTAGTCCGTCAATACATACTTTTATTTAATGTAATCACTGTTGAACATTTCTTCAATTAAAAGAAAAAAGCTTGTTTTGAAAGTTTCTTTTATCGCAAATTTCGCATTTCCTTAAGTGCAGTCATCCTTTCTATACAAAATAACTTTCCTCCTATGAAACAAGGTTTCCCTAGGAAGAAAGAAGAGGGGGAAAAAACCAGCCTCTACATGAGATTTGAGCCCCCCTTTTCCATTTTTTTTTTTGACTTGTCAAAATAATTTTGACCTCCCACTCCCTCTCTCCGGTTCAAAAATTTCTGGATCAACCACTGCCTTAATACTTTTGGCATATGACAATTTGGCATGAATCATCAAAAACCATGTGAACTTGACCTTTGACTTGTCAACTTACTAGTTAATTAGGCAAAAAAAGTTGTTGGTTTTTTTTTTGCTTTGCTTTTGTTATTAACCTTGGCTTAATAACACAAAATGTCATGACTCCCACTTGACACTCTGATCTCTATCCATCTTCTTTCAGGGACGTTTGCAAGGATTAGAAAAGAATAATACCCCCCACCCCCCCGTACTTGGCTTGTGCAACATTCCTAGGATGATAAGTTGTAAACTACCAGTCTGTCCTTGACTGTTGACCTCATATGGATTTTCTATTTTTTTTAATATCTTCGCATACTTTTCAAGCTACATGTATGCTGATGTCACCAAAACATAAAGTGGTGTGTTTAACCATAACCTCCATATGACACTGATATTCAAATAATTCTAAATGGAGACATTTTAATATAATTTTGAATTATGTCACTGTGACCTAATTTCATGACAAAATGCCTTTAATAACCTTGCCATAATCTAATGGATAGACAAAGAATGCCACAAGTTCAATAAATAGGTATAAGAAAAATACTGTGACTGTTAACAAGCATAAATCTATAGAATATTGATCCCACAAACAAAATCCATTAAGCTTGAACCAAGATAAGTCTAACTGGTATGCTGATACAGTTGAACTTTGGTATCTCAATTACAGATATCTTGAATACCAATATATATGTCAAAGTGATTTGGAAGTCCCAACTACCTAATCTTTAAGTATTTTACCATGGATATCTCTAATACTCGGATATCTTGGAAGTTTTTTCTCGGCCAGGAGTTCGAGATAACAAGGTTTGACTGTACATTCTTAGGGTAATATCAAAGCACATGTAGACACCCTACAAAAAGGGCAACATGAAACTATGATCTTTAAAGAATTTAGTTCGAATTCTTAAATCTGTTAATAAAACAAGAATATCAGTTTGTACATTCTGTGTTTTTTCTTTCTTTTTATTCATTATCTTTTTAACAATTTACTGTAAAAACAAAGTCAACCAAATAAAATGGTTCAATTTTCATGTAAAACAACTGATTTTTAAAACCTGGTCTATTGTATTTGTGTTTCAGTTTTATATCATAAACATGTACTGCAGTTTTTTTGTCAAATGAATGTTGCATATTAAAATAAGTTCAACTTTTAAATACTACCAGCTTTAACAGATATACATGTACATTTTTTACAATTTTTTTCTCATCATAACACAATCAAATGGTATTTATGGTGAAAATCTCTTGGACTAAAATTCAATACGCATATTTTTGACTCATTGAAAAAAAAAAAATACTTCTCTTCATACAATATTCTTAACATGTATTTTCAATCTAAACAATAAAACATGTCATATTCATATGTAAGGAATTTATTGTGGAAGTATGCATACTCCTATATAAGTTTCCTTCTAAAAACAAATTATCGCACAAAATTTAGGATGAATGGGTGTGAAGCATTTATAGTTTTATAACAAAATTTAATGAATGCAATTCAAAAGAAAGAAATATCACACCAATTCAAAAGAAAGAAATATCAAACTGTATCTGTCTGCAAAATACAATATTGTATAAGATAGGGATGTAAAACAAAATTTTTTGATACATTTCAGTTTTTAACCCTTGGAAGAAATATTTATTGGACATCCTTCTTTTTCAAGAAATATAACAGGACTGTAATGTGTAATCTTCTTTTCTAGTTTTTACTTCAAATATTTAAAATAATAACAGTCAAGAGTGATCATGAGTCCAAATTTATACATATATAGGCTTTCATAAAGTTAATTACTGCTACAACATTAATAATTCAGTACAAAAAAAATGTGGAGCTGATATTATCATCAAACAAAGTTCAATAAATTAAAACACAAATCTTGCTGTTACTGGAAATCTAAAACAATGTCTTCACCACAAATAAATCTCTTAAGACTCTTTTGTTTCATTGTTGGGAACAAATGTTGATAAATGAAGTAAAATAATTTGGATGAAAAAGTGGCTCATACTGTTCACAAAAATCCCAAGTATTTTTACACACGTGTGCTCTGATCAAGTATTTCAATTCTTAATGACCAATTATGTCAATTAGCTAAAAGATTAACCAACCATTCCTTCACAACTACAGTGACAGACGAGCAAGAAAATTCAATTTATTTCATTTCCCTGTACCATAAAATTGTAAACCATGTAATATAATGAAAAGTAAGAGACATTGTTTTCTTATTTCATTGCACAAACGAACTGATTATACATGTAATGGTAAATTTTTGCTACCAATGGATAAATTACTTGTGTTGAGTTCTGATTTGATTTTGATGACATGGGTCATACTTGGGGAAGGGGGGGGGGGTGTCTTATGCCATAAATACAACAAATATAATGAAAAACAATATAAGAACAGCAAATATCTTGATCATTAGCCACCGATTTGATGTCACTGACTGAAAGTACTTTAGAATTTCACTGTGAGCTGCTTCCACATTCATAACTGCATCATCTGTATTGGCATCAATTCTGAAGAGAAAAGTGTGACACAACATGCATGTAAGTAAAGAATTGATTTATAAAAATACATTTACTTGTATTTCTTATACAAAATGTACAATTACTATAAGAACAGATTTATGGGAGGAGAGGTAAAATTATACTCCATCATGCATCCATAGAACTTCAAGAACTTTTTAAAATAAAATTAAGATATTAAATCTGAAATAAATCATTCTATATAATTCTAAATAACATTACACTTTTCTAAATTAGCATGGAACAGAAAGTTCTTTTTTTCCCTCAAAAATCAATGTTAAGAATCTTTAATTGAGTTGTGCTAAAAAAAAAAAATTTATATGTGTTAACCACAAGTACTCTGAGCACATTTAGCTAAGTTCTACTGACCTGTGCACCATTTCTTCCTGTTCTTTGACCATATGTGCTAGTTGTGTGAATATTCCACCTAACTCCACAATTGTACTTTCTATATTCTTCATGGTGTCTGCTCTCTCCTGGATATAATCATCCTAGTAAACAAGAAAACAATAAAGCTGTTTTTCAGATTGAAAGAGAAAGCACTCTATAATCCAATATATGTCAAAAAAAATTTGATCCTCAGTGAAGTTCTTAAAATCATGGTAAATTTATCACTTTAATGAAGCGCTGAATTTTGTTTCCAATACAATGACCCAATGACCACGGTATATCAAACTTTTCATTCATATACACAGTTCGTTGCATTTTACTCCCACCCCCAACCCAACCGAATGCTTCATAGTCTTTTTTTTTTTTTTTTAAATTTATTTCACCTACCTGTTGGTCTATCAGCTGCATCTGCTGCTGAAATCTACTTTTATCCATACCGTCCATGTTAAGGACAACATCACCCCCTCCTGTGGCACCCTGGGAATTCATTTCATCTTGAAACAATACTGAACCTGTGGGAAAAAACCATATGATTTAGATATAATTTCTATAATCAAAAGTAAATCTGATGAAAAATTCAATAATTTACATCTAAAATCCACATAAAAGTATCTAGCTGAGTTCTGTTTTGAGGTGAGCTGATATACAACTTACTTAAAAAATCAAATTTCATTAGTCAAACAGACAAATACAAATCTTTTGCTCAATACTATCCTGATAATCATGATACATGTATATTGAACCCAATATTTATGATGACATGTCTTGCTAAACAATTTAAGTTCTATAACAAGAGGAGGCTTCACTTCCAGGTTTAGTTAACTTTGTCAGACATCCAGGAGTTACTTCCCTTGATAATATTGCTGCAAATTAAGCCACTTTATGCACAAACCATGTGGGTATTAAGTATCCAAGGCCCTCAAGTAGAAATACTTTGCAATATTTTCCTGTATTCTCATGTTTTGATAGAAATTCTTCTATCTGATACGAATCATGGAAATTGACGTAACTTTCAAAAATTGAAAACTCTTGAATAAATTTATTTCTCTTAAGAACTCACTGTGATTGCTGTATGTTGTGTTGGACATGGCTGGGGACTCTGAGAACTGATCTCGCCTGGTCTTCTGGTGCCTTAAATTCTGAGAAATAACGAATCATTTTCTTAAAAATATAATCATTTGCTGGCTTAAGTACATAAAATTCAATGAAATATTTCAAGAAATATTTATTATCCACTATAAGAACTGTGCTACAAATTCAATAATTCATGTACATGCAACACAGTTAATACTGTTTATTGTTAATAAGTCATGACATTGGGGAATAAAAAAACCTTATAGAGAAAATAAATTTCTTCAGTATACATACCTCTGTTCTGACTTCTAGGACTTCCTTGAAATCATTTGACATGGTGGCAAGTTTTGACTATTAAAAGAAGACATTGTCAAATTAATTTTGTGTAATGTTTTTTTAAAAAATGCAGACATAATTAATTCGTGAATTAATTCCTGATCACTGGTTTTCATAAACTTGTGCATATCTGATACATGTATAAATACAACAGTGTTTATCTTGTCTGCACCAATCAGACTGTGATCCTAAATTGTGCTAAACTTTAATTGTACTACACACCCAATAATTGTAAGGAAGTGAAAGGAGAGTGACATAACTAACAGTACACATCTTTGGTACAAGGACACACAGACTCTACTAACCTGTAAGGACACAACCACAGAGTTGGAGTGACTCTGTACGTGCCTGGCATTAGGGTGTGATTTGGCCACCTGTTGAAGCTGTGCTATCTGTTTGTTCAGACTCTGTATGTCCTGATTAATAATGTAGGTCAGCTCCTGGATCTCTACTGGCTTGTCATCAAAGAGAGACTTCTTTTTAGCCACTTTAAAATTGAATAAGTCATAAAATTGAATAAGTCATTGTTATATGTATTGACAAAACACTTTAATGAAGAAAATTCGAAAAACTGACTTTAATATGCAGGGCTAGAAATAATTATTTTTGATTACTGGTCACTCGGGCCATTGCCTTAAATTTTTACTGGTCAGCTTAGTACTTTCATTGTTCCACGGGGCCAGTAGATTTTAAAAAGACTGGCCCAAAACCTAAATATCATAGTAATATTTTTTTTTTATTGTGATTCTTAGATGTACAACTTAACAAAACAAGAAACATCAGAAGTTGGGACACACAACCCTGTCAAGTTAACTAGCCCGACTGTGAATGAATTTTATTATGCATGAAAAAATGCTGACCCAAAGGGCACATGCCGTCTGCAATGTGCTAGCCCAGATTGAAAATTCACTGGCCCCAGACCAGCGGGCCATCAATTATTTCAAGCCCTGATATGGTACTTACACATGGTGAGTTTTTCAAGTTTTGCAAATGTGTTTGCTAAGTCACGGCCAATTTTTCTGAAAAGACAAAAAACAAAGGCTGAATGAAATATACATTATATATTTGAATTATGAAGCAGGGTATCAAAAATCCTTGTCTGATCAAAGTAATCTGTTTATTTGGATAGATAGAATAAATTCTCTTAAATGCACCAAATATTTAAGCAATGCATATTAGTTTTACTTTATGGAGATTGATCCGCAATATTTTCATCTTCCCGTGTTTACATGCAATTTTTTGGCAATTTACAGAAATGAAAAAATATTATTATCATTGTCAATAATTTGAAATTACTTTGCAATTTGAGTAAATTCACTCCTTTGTCGTAAAGCTGGGTTTCTTTTGTGAGCCAGTGTTCCATTTCCCTGCAATATATACAATAAATAATTCATGGGAATGTTTTAATTGATACATAATAAGATGCATTCTCTACTCAGAATTCTGTTGACAGAATGTCAGCTGATTTCACAACATTGCCAACAATTTGGAAATAAAACCTGGTGAAAAAAAAGATAAGGATGAACTTCATTTTCTTGAAAACCAATATCTCAAATACCAGGGATATGGTTGAAATGTTGAATGAGAAGAGAATCTTTTGTAACTCATTAAAATATTGATCAATGCAAGTAAAGCATAGTCAGAAATGAACTTTGATGTGACCTTTCAATACTCAACTGCAGTTTAAGAACATTTCTTATACTTGCATATTGTTGATTGCATTTGCAGTGGAAACAATTATTTTCATTGGTTAACATGATGTGATGTCACATGTGTGCGTATTAGAGGAGTGCTTACTCAAGATCACAATACTTTATGTGATCAAGCAGTTCTGGGTAGGAGAGAGCTATATGCAGACTCCGAACAGTACAGCTTGAGGCAACGTATACTCCAAGCTTTATCAAGGATAGAAAAACTAACAAATCCCTGCATAAAAATCTTTACCAATTACAAATGGGATTCTGTGTGTATCCATAAATAATGTAAAATTTGTTTTAAATCTCTGTGACTTTTGCTTAAAATATGTACTTAGTATATATACCATACCTGTCTTGATTGTAATAATTTTGCTGCAGAAAGAAACTCATTGGTTCGATCTCTACAAGACATTTCTGTGTCTATTGGAATCTCTGAGACAATTGTCTGACTTGTTTGTGTGGATATTCTGCTTTGTTTAGAATCAGATCCAGAATTGGTATGGCGTCGTCTCGCTATCATTGATCTTGTTCTAAGATGTCATCTGAAATAAACGGGTATGATTTTAAAATGCTATTGGAAAAATTCCACTCTTAATACAAGCCTAAACACACCATTTACAAAACTGGCTGATATTGATATCTCTCAGAAGAAATAAAGTTTTGATATTGTTGGGATTAATATGTCAATTCAGATTATGAATCATATATTGTGTGTGAAAAATTGTCAAATATATTTTTTTTCTACGTGAATAAATATTCCATGTCTATATCGTGAATATTTTGAACAAGTGTTCTTTTACCTAGCATTACATTCATTCCAATAATGGAAAATCATACATGTAATGTCAGAGACCTATCTATAGTACATAGGTCCCTGGTAATGTGCAATATGAAAGAAAAGAGAACTGGGCCGGGTGAAATATGGGACTGAATATTGATGAACTGGAGAAGGCATAGAAATATCCATAAATGTCGTTTCGTTTCAACAAGAATGAAACCATTTGAGGGAATTTCAAATGAACAATTTATACCTAAAATAGATGGAACGTTACTTCTTGCTGTTAATATTTTTTAGCTTCATTCTAAACATTTTTAAAATTTTACATGTACAAATCAACCAAAATTCGTTTGTCATTTACCTACCAAAACAAGACCGTCACACCGACTACCAAAAAACACGAACTTTCCACTTAATTTTTTAACTTTTACAGATACTCATGATCATATTTTCTGTTTTGACACAACAGCACAAATCTTCCACGAATCTATTACGTCACATCCGCCCGGCACCGGAAACAGTGCGCGCTGTTATAAAACGAAATCGTACACGAGGAGAATCATTTGGTCGTGAGACCGTGAACAGTGCAGATGCAAAGAGCACGTTATGCTTACTCAACGATTTGCATGATAAATTAAGTAATATATCATAATGCCTCCAACTATTTCAGATTCCAAAACTGTAGGAAACACAGGTCTGTATATTTTAAAATGCAAAAATAATATTTTCCCGTACTTTAGTTGAATGTCTGTTTTGTTTGACAACAAAAAAGTTGTCGCCCTTTTCATCAGACGATAATGTAAAGTTGAGGAGGGGTTGGGGGGAGGGGTGTCTAGCTTTTTTTTATGTAGTTCGATATGTGTACTATACGTGCTCATATTCAAATAACAGTTTTAGAATTGCTAGTAAAAGAGTTTATGTTAAGTAACCATTTATCTTCAAGTGATGGAAAAAATACAGAAGACTCTTCAGGAGCGGATCATGATATTTGATGGTGGAATGGGAACGATGATTCAGATGCATCGCCTGGAGGAGGAAGATTTTAGAGGAGAAGAGTTCAAAGATCATCCTAAAAGTCTAAAGGGGAATAATGATATACTTGTTTTAACTCAGCCAAAAATTATATTGGATATTCATAAGGTTTTTTATTTTTTTTTTCCAAATCATTTTAATAGAATGAATGAAGTAAATTGTGTTAGAGTGCTATAGATAATTGATAAAAAGGAAAACTACAATTGTGCAGCATATCAAACACTATAAGCTTATCTTATCTAGGATCTGCCATGTAGAGAAAAATAAATATTGACTTAGTTCCTGTTCATGCAGAAGTTGTTGGATCATTGTTAATCAGACTTACACTCTCGTTAATTTATTCTTTAAATATCCAGGATTGGTCATGTGTAATCATGGTTGTTCTCCAGATTAAAAAAAAAGAAAGTAATTCTCTAAAAGAAAAGACTTTAACAGCCCTCCCCCCTAATAAAATGATAACCTTTTATATATTACTTTTATTTCTTGTAGGGTTATTTAGAAGCTGGTGCAGATTTTGTGGAAACAAATACATTTAGTGGGACCAGGATTGCACAAGCTGATTATGGAACAGAACACTTGGTATAATTATTATTAAGAAAAAGAAAAGAAAAGGAAAAAAAGTGAGAAATTGAGAAGAACTGTTTTTTACAGCCTTTTTTTTTTTACATTCCAAATGCTGTTATATTTCAGACCTACAGATTAAATTTTGAAGCTGCAAAAATTGCAAAGCAGGCTGCAGAAGAGGTTTCAAATAAAACAGGTCTGGATTCAAACTATAACCCCCCCCCCCCCATCAAAAAACAAAACAAAAACAAACAAAAAACAAGCAAGCAACGAAAGGATCAGATCAGAATTCTATGCTTTTTGAGACCTTGAAGGTGCTTGGACACATATTTGAACTTAATATTTTCTCAAATTTTCTGTATAATATCACGACTTATAAATTGCAATAGCATTTCACACGAAAATATAATTAAAAACCTATTTTATCTGGAAATTATTGGAACTACGAATTCTGGGACGCGTTTGATTAACACATCTTTGCACTTACACAAATTTTAACTTTATCCTTAATATTTAAGATAAGAAGCGATTTTGTTACGTATTAATGAAAAATATTACATATATAATCCAGAAAATTTAGAGTAGAAATGTTAGACAGCAAAACCAAGTCACTAGTATTGTCAGTCCATGCTCTGTGATGGGTACAGAGTTTAACAAATTGAACACACCCGTGAAACGGAAACTGTTTTTGTAAACAGGGCACGAGCTCTGTTATTGTTAATGTTTACGATTCACTGGGTGTGTTCAATTGTTAAACTCTGCACACACCACTGAGCACGGACTTGCAATACTGTGAGTGGGTTTTACTTTCAAACATTTCTACTCAGAATTTTCTGGGTTGTAGTTTTAATATTTTTCATTAATACACAACAAATTTGCCACTTTTCTTAAGTATTCAGAATAAAATTAGAATACATGAAAGTGCAAGGATGTGTCAATCTAACGTGTCCAGAAATTTGAAGTTTTAATAACTTCGAGATGATATAAGATTTTTATTATATTTTAGTATGAAATGCTATAGCAACGTATAAGTCATGAAATTATACAGACAATTTGAGAAAATATTTACTTCAAACCTGTGTCCAAGGACCTTTAACTATAAAAAATTAAAATTTTATTGTTAATTTGTATGTGTGTGCCAACATGATCATTTCAGCAAATCATTTAAAATATTGAAATTTATGTATGTATAGGCATTCCAAAGTATGTAGCTGGTGCAATGGGTCCAACAAACAGAACTCTCTCTATATCTCCCTCTGTAGAGAAGCCAGAGTTTAGAAACATCAGTAAGTGACCATCACTTTGCTCACTATAGATACATTAACTCATTACTACTATAATTTTCTTTATAAGCTTGATTAAAAAATTATCAGTGGTAAATAATTTCACCTCTCTGTCGACTTTCACTTAGTTCAAGTTGTCCAGTCAATGCTAAGAAAAATGAAAAAAAAATTTGTCTTTGTTGTGTGAGACTTTATTCAATTTGTTCCTCGATCTTCAAAATTTTTGCTTTGTCAGCTTTTGATGAACTGGTCGAAGCATATACAGAACAAGCCAAGGGGTTGATAGAGGGAGGGGCAGACGTGCTACTGGTGGAGACAATTTTTGACACTGCGAATTCTAAGGCGGCACTATTTGCAATTGAAGAACTATTTCAGAAAGCAAATTTTGAGTGTCCTGTGTTTGTGTCTGGAACAATTGTAGACAAGAGTGGTAGAACTCTCTCAGGGCAGACCACAGAGGCTTTCATTATTAGTGTGTCACATGCAAATCCAATGTGGTATGTAGATATAGTGCTTTACAAATGAAAGTAACCAGAGGGCTTGTGAGCTTAAGTAATAAGCCACATTAAACGTATAATCTAATTATTTGGAACTATTATATTTTTTGTTAAAAAAATAATTAAGGAAAATCATAATTACATATAAATCTCTATATTTGATAAGTTGAAGTGACAAACATGCTTTCAGCTTGATTGAATAAAGTCTAATTTTATTGTAAGTATTTCTTATGACTTTTTTGTTTTGTTTTCAGTATTGGATTAAATTGTGCATTAGGTGCCAATGAGATGAGACCTTTCATTGAAGCAGTCAGTAAAAATACAACAGCATACACAATATGCTATCCAAATGCAGGTTCGATTTCTCATAATTATTTTTCAGTACCCAATTTTATCCTATATATTTTTCAGGGACATGAAAAAAAAAAAAATAAACAAAATTTTGTTACAATTTACATTTTGTAGGATTACCAAATACATTTGGAGATTATGATGAAACCCCAGAGAGCATGAGTGAACAACTCTCAGTAAGTAAACTGTGTTAATGGATGCAGAATGCATTATGTTTTCTCAGACTCATTGCATGCATTAATAAAATTTTATGAAAAGAAACCAAATTCATACAAATATTTAAACAGTTAAAATTTGGTATCTCCAACATCAATATCCAGAATACCATGGATATATGGAAGTCAGATGAAGCCAAAACCACTTTTAGTTAATGTATTTCAACTTCAATATCTTGAATCCTCAGTATTTCAAAGTTTTTTTCTTGACCCAATCCAATTTGAGATGATGAGGTTTGACTGTAGTTAATATAGATATTGTTTTGTTAGATGAGTCTTGCTATGTTTCTTTCAGAGTTTTGCACAGGCTGGCCTGTTGAACATTGTAGGTGGGTGTTGTGGGACAACACCTGAACACATTAGGTGAGGAAATGTGTATGTTACCTGTTCTTCACTCTTCTCAGATCTGTTGACTGTTTTTTAAATAGTTTGATATTTTCCTTTATGCATTACAAGCAGACATAACTGGAATGGGATTTATATACAGTAATAAAAGACTAAAAGACATATTATTTCTCCTAGTATTTCAACATTTTTAAGTACTCTCTGTTTTGTATACAGTATATATTTCTCATCATCCATTTGTATGTTGTAATTCTTGCCGTTTGATAGATTTTTTTTTCTTACAGAGCAATAGCAGAAGGGGTTTCTCAATTCAAACCAAGAATTCCACCACAGGAGCTTAGGAAAGACTTCATGATGCTCTCAGGTAAAATTGAATTGAATTTTTCAGCCAGCTATTCAATTTTATACAAAAAAAACCCCTTTCATTCAGACTATATGTCAGGACTGTAGCTTTTCTGTAGATTTGTAAAAGTGAATGAGTAGAGAGGTAGGTACATGAAATATTTTGCTTATGAAGGATTTCAGAATGATTTGTACTTGTTCTTTAGGACTTGAGCCTACATATATAGGACCATATACTAACTTTGTGAATATTGGGGAGAGATGCAATGTAGCAGGATCTCGAAAGTTTGCCAGACTAATAAAAAATGGGGAGTATGAGGTGAGAGGAAAAAAATCAAGTGTTCTGATATAGAAATCATGTTATCATTGATGGTTCTTGCATAAAAATTATATATTGAACATGATTGTTTTTGGATTTGCTTTTTATAAATGGAAACACATTTAAATGATACTTAAATCCTCAAGCTTCTTGCATTTTACATCTGTTTCCTAGTGCCTTTTAATTCCATTATTGTAACTTAATTTATTTTTCCACCACTTGTGACAAAGAAGATGATTTAATGTCTTTTAGAAAGGCATATACACATGCATCTACAATACATAGTGGATCTTTAACTATGTATATTTGTATTCTAAAAATAACATAACATGGATTTGTTACTATGATACAGGAAGCCTTAAATATTGCAAAAACTCAGGTAGAAAATGGAGCACAGATCCTGGATATCAACATGGATGAAGGGATGTTGGATGGAGTGGCATGCATGTCCAAATTTACCAATCTCATTGCTTCAGAACCAGAAATCTCAAAGGTCTGCAATCCCTCAAAAGTGTAAAGACCTAAAATTATTTAATGGTCAATATCCTGGTGATCTTTAAT